GGACATAGAAATCCTCATCCGCCAGGATGGGCACCACACGGCAAGAAGCTGCTGCGACGAAGGCTTGCAGCAGCCAGGACACCATGCAAGACGAGGTCAAGCAATTGCGCGTGCAAAGCACAAGTAACCAACGCGTTCTGTGCTCTTCTTGCCTTTGGCTTTGTCTTCGCCGCGTGGAGCCGAGACTCTCTGCAACCTCAGAATCCCACAAGAATGTTCAAAACTTTGGGATTTGCATTCTCCCCCAATACGCCAGTATTGACGATAGCTCACATATGGCCGCTGAAGTATAGGCAAACAAGCAAAAAGCACACCACATTCATGGACTGTGCCTTGTCGGCAGAGCTAAGCACCATCGGCACAAGTGCCGTCTTGAAGCGCAGGACAAGGGGTCAGGCGCCACAGGGCATGCGCTGTTGCAATTGCTTCCATGTCATCCTCAAGGCTCGAAAATCAATTCCCTATTGATTCCCTCAACAGGCAAGGTCAAGACTGGTTGCGGGTCCTGATCGGCGAGAATCACGCGATCCGAGTCCGTAAGCTTTGGGGCGGAGTCGTTTGAGGCGTTGGCCTTCCCTTTGGTGAGCCGGAGGTGGTCCAGAATTTCGTCCATTTCTTCCAGCCTTTGGCTCAGGCTCAGTGTGCTCACTGCCCGCAGCCAACGCAGGGTGCCCGTCACGTCTGCCATCCCAATTCCGAATGCCTGCAGGTCTAGAATGTCAGGAACTGTCTTCTCAAAGGACTGTATGTGTTCCTCGGTTGGCAGGAAGAAATCCGGCAACTTCACCATCACCGTGCTGATGCCACGGAAGCGAGCCGTTACCAGCTCAGCAAGACACCATTTGCCTTGTCTATTGTTGAAATCCAAACAAAAGCCTCTTGCTTCTAACTTCTGATCCGAGAAAGAAATTTGCGTCACAAGTTACGGGTCAACACGCTCGGACTCGCAAGCAAAACCAGGGTCTCAACTTGTTCTGTCAGAATGGGCAGGAGCTGCGTGAGGTCTGTGAGGTTGTCGGCATCCAAGAAAGCTTCGCGAAGCTCCATTTTCAGAAGTCGTGCTAGGCTTCCCGAGGCTTTTTTTTGATGAGATAGGAAGAAGTGGAACTGCTTTCTGTACTTATGCCTAACATGTTGCACCACTGAGGCAAGCGATATCAATGCAAGGCCAGGCAGCAGCAGGCCGATTGCAATGCTACACATTACCATAGGCGGTCCAGAGTCTGCACCCGTCTGTGGGACTAAAAAAGTTCCTTGAAAGAGCACAACCAGGAAGACACCGCAAAGAAGAACCTCGGTGTAGGCAGCCCAGGAAAATCGCCAGGGCCTGACCAACACCACCACAACAGCTGTGGCATACAAGAGCACGTAGATCAGCAGGAGGCTGGCGCTAGGCAAGGGGATCACAGGTGCGAAGGCGAACATCGCATTGCGGACCATGTTGAAGACTGCAAAAGCTTCACAACCGGGCCGGAAGCGTAGGACCATGAAGGAAAAAGTGCGCACAAATCGTTCATCCGCTGCCAAGCGGCGACGTGGAAGCTCCCGAATCACCCAAAGAGCCAGAGTCAGAAAGCCTGCTGGAAGAATCGCTAGGAGGCCGCCAATCAAGCACAAGTCAAAATGCTCGCCCGTGAAGTTGCACAAAGCACCAATGTTTGATGCCATGGTTGATGATCCGTTCGGGTGCGGCTGGCATTGGAACGGTTCTAGAGCTGCCGTGCAAAATGCAATGAAGAAGAGTAGCGCCAGCGATCCCAGCATCTGAAAGAACACATGCAGGCGCACCCCTTGTCCGCACCAGATCAAGGCGCTGCCAAGGTGAACCAACACAGGTCCAAGCAGCAGCAATGCTGGCAGCATTAGTGTCCGGAGCAGGAACTGTACTGTCGCGGACAGCGTTGTGACGCATGCAAAGGCACGGAAGGCACGTGCAAAGTGCTCCAAAGACAAGAAGTCCAAGGCCCGTAAGATCTGCAGGAAGGGGGGTCCCCATGCGATATCAACTTTCTGGATGACCGCCACCAACCTAAGCTTTGGAATGCCAAAGGATTCACAAGACCCTGATTTAGTATTCAAGGATGCTTAGGGCTTGTGTGCCAAGCTGATACGCAGTGGTTCTGTTGCACTGCCAGGCTTGCAAATGCTGCATCTTTAAAGAGTGACTTGTGTATGAAGTCAGAAACATTCAGAACGCAAAGGTGCACGAAGCACAGCAACAATATGGCCGACTCTGAAACTGCCTCAGTGCTGGCTTGTTTCATGCCGACTGATTCGGTATTTTTACGGCAGATGGAGAGGTCCGGCAATTATGCAGTAATTAGAATTTAGAATCGTTGACACTCATGGGAAGTCTGATGTGACATCAAGGAGCTGCAGGCAGACCACCAGCTGGCTCCCAAAGATAGAGGCATTCAGAAGGTCGTTTGACGTCTGAGCCTTGATGTAGTGCTCCTTGTCCTGCCGTAGCAGCATGAAGTGGAGACATCCCGTTCCAAGAAGTATCACCAAACCGGTTAGAACGGAGAGGATGTAGTCCCCGTCGCCACACTCCTCACAGCTTGCGCCAGCGGCGCGCAAGCCCTCCAAACAGGCCCCGCAAGCTAAGCTGCGATTGTCACGCCCTGAAGCGCAGCTTCCAGGAGGGCCGCCTGGGCACCTCGATTCATCGCCATAGCACCTGAAAACAGAACCGGGTTTTCTGTGCTGGAGAAGAAGCCGGGAAGCAACTCAAGTTGATTTGATCCAGGGCAATCGGTTCCCTCAGAACACGGGTAGCATCCTGCATCATGAAGAAAGAAGTCCTGCGCACATCGGCAGAAGCTGTACGAATCCGCCCCCTCCACCACCACCCACCTGTTTCCGCTGCTGAGCTGTTGCACGCGGCTCGTGGTCCAAGCAGTTCCGTTCCCACATGGCTGGCATTCCGACATGCCCGGCAGGTCTGCGTACGTTCCTGGACTACAGCGCCTGCACTCTGCTGCACCTCTTACATCAGCAACCCTACCAGGCTCACATGGCAGACACATAGTCTCTCCAGAAAGACCCTGGTAGGATCCCGTGCTGCATAACTCACAAGTATGGGTTTCCCCTTTGCTGTCCAGCAGATACCTAGAGAATGTCCCGGCTCTGCACAAACCGCAATCAACACCTCCTGCACGCGATGCAACATACCTTCCTTCATCATCAGTAATCCCGTAGCCCGGCGAGCATTTCGTGACTCTGGGCACCCAAGACTCATAAAGTGCCCTGTTCCCTCTCAAGTACTCGCAAGCTATGTCATAAAAGGTCTTCAGGAATCCAGTCTGGAAAGTGAAGTCATAGGAGTTGCGACGGTTCAACAGCAGGACATCCATGTGGTGAGTGCCGATGTAGAAGTCCTGGAAAAACTCGTAGACCTTGATGCAGGCATTTAAAGACTTGTGCACTGGTGAAGTTTGGGCAAACACAAACAAGAGAGGGGGCAAGTTCAACACCAAATGACCTTGGGAGCTTGAGCACGAAGCTTGTTGCTGACGATCTTATCAACTTGCGATCCGCCGTCCCAACTGTAGCTGTTTGGAAATGCTATCACTTGCGGATCCCAGTAAACATCTACTGCCGTTGGGAACCAGCAGCGGCACAAGAACCTGTTGCTGGCCACCATCGCATCAAACCAGGGCCGAAAGCCATAAAGGACGCCGATGGCTAAAGGCATATTGTACAAATAGGCATTGGTCATAAACTCTGGCACCGCGTGGCCCCACTCCACAGACACCACCGGAATGCACTGCGATACATTTTGGCGGCAGGCTGGGGAGAGCCACCACCGGCCATCAGGGCAATGGGCGTAATAGTTGCCATCCACTTCAATCATGCCCTCAGTGTCGCCTGTGCAAGCTGTGTAAGTCAACAATTGAGCTCAATCTACTGAGCTACAGCTATCTATCTGCTACAAACTGTCCACCAAGAATGACTGAGGCCATGGCCTGTCATGGACACATATTGGTTCATAGAGTCGGTGTGCGTCCAAACTGTTCCACTCTCATTGCACAACCTGTAGTCTTCCAGTCGCGCAATGTTCTCCTTGTCGTCAAAGTGAATCCGTGCTCTGTTGATAGAAGCATTGTATGACCTGAAATAATCCAAGCCAGTGCTTGTCCGCCTGGACACGTCTCGTACCAAGTGACCTGAGACACACAAGCCTTGCCCCTCGATGATGCCCACAGAGCCGAGCTGCTCTGGAGCCCGGGATGGGGTTAGTATTCTGAAGTAATCATAATAAAAACGATCTGTACTATCCCACCATACCCAGGATTTCAGCGCTGCATGGACGTTGCTGACATATGTGTAGTTGTAAATGAAGTCTGCACACCCCGCAACACGCATTGCTGCATTCGTCACGCCTGTCGCAGAGGTATCGCTGATCACAACTTTGTACCCCATGATCTCTTCCAGAACAACTTTGGCTGCCGCTGCTGCCAATTGAGAAGGCTCGTCGCCCCTCTGCAGCAAAGTGAGGCTAACAAACTCCCCAAGCTCATTTGTTATGTACGAGCGGTTCTCTTCAAGCACACCGTCAGGAAAGCAAAGTTGACTGGCACATCCCCATACCAGAAGGGCGACGAATCGCCATCCATGCAGCTTGGGGCAATTCATGGCAGCTCGCAGCCCTAATTAGCAAACTAGAGTGGACAAACAGACAATGTTCACTGATAGCACCCTGGTCATTGTCAGGGAAGGTACTTGCCAGCAAGGCAGGTGAAACCAAGCTACCGGAATGCTGTTCCTACCTCCAGCCTGCTGGACAGAAACTGCTGTAATTCAGAGTAGCACGGCATGCAGGAGCTCCTAATCTGCAAATCTCACGCGTATGAATTGAGGGCGATTTGATTCCAGGAAAGCCAATTCCATTGCGGTGGACGCCCCCGCAGCACGAGGAAGGGCTTGATATTCAGTCAGCTGATTGATTGAATGCTTGGTTGATTCAGTCTGCTGAAATGTTTGCACGAACGGCAATTATGATTTGGCCTCTCCTGTCCAGGATGCAACTTCTCTTGGCGCTGACTTTGATGAGTCTTTGTACTGGAAGTAGATGCGAATATTGCACGGTCTGCCTGCTGCACTCAATTCTGAGAAACAAGCTGCCTGAAACATCATCTGACACGCGCAAAAAACACGTTTCCAAACGCCTTTCCAAACAAGGCCTGAAAAGAGGGCAGGTTCGGGGACAGCTCCCTCTTGGGACCTTGAAAACATTGAAACCTCAATATGCCAAAGCCGGTGCTCACCTGCATCCGACCGGACTAGCTTTTGATGCGAGCTTCTCGACATTTCACGTCCCCTGCGCTGGGGACCTTGGGTTTGAGGCTTCTGGGACTCTCAACGCAGACAAAGGATGCTTCGATGCTTGGACATAGACTCACGCGAACTACGGCTTGCAAAAGGCAGTGCATGCGGAGGCCAGATAGAAAGGCACATGACCGGGAGTCGTGTGCATAGAGCGCAGGCAGCAAGAACAAACGAATTTCTGGACACAAGTGGGCATGCATTGACTTTGTACTAAGGAACTGGGCACGCAGAGCGTTCGCCGTATGCTCGCTTGATATGTTTTGCATCCCACGGCCTGCGCTGAGCAGGTCAGGGCATCCTCTTAGAACGTTGGTGAGCATCAAGCGCTGATGAACCAGCAGGCGCCGCCCGCCCCAACCACCCAAACTATTC